ATCCAATGCCGGATCCTCTCCAGGTTCAGAGCAACGAGTTTTTCTCCATGGCTGTTCGGGAGTGGATCATAGGAGCCCACCTGCTCCACAAAACGGCCATCCCTGGGACACTTGTTGTGAGCAGCCACAATGCGATAAAAGGGCCGGTTGGTGCAGCCACCCAGGGCAAGCCGGATGGTTAAGTGGCCACCACGGTAAGCCCTACACAGGAAGGTACCTGTAGAGAATTAACTGGTTAGGACACAAGAGCAGAGGGCATAAAAGGGACAAAATGTGGTCGGAGAACAATTCCTATCTTTCACTGTCATATTCTCACTTCCAACCTAGTCTAGTTAATCCGGCCTGGTTACAGTCTTCCTTTGTGAAACTCCCCCTTAACCACTGCAGCCAGAGATTACCTCCGCCTCATCCCCACATCCACTCCGCACAGGCCTGTGATTTAGTCACTTTGTGACTTCGCTATAGCCTCCCTTGACTCATCTGCAAAATGAGATGAGGGTTACACCGAGGATTAGGCGAGGCGACGAAAGCTGACAAGAGGATCAGCTGTGAAGTGAGTGCGGCAGAGGTTCGGGTGGCCTCCAGCGCACCTACGAAATCGACTCGGCCACTCAATCCCAGCGACTGCCCCGTAATCTCTCGGGGCCGAGATGACTCACTAAGCTGGACCATGATGCAGCCGGAGCACAGATAATCGGATCGTCCCGCTGTTCCCACAGCCCAGGGCCACCGCCTGAGACACAGAAACGCAACACTAAAGGTCAATTCCCAGCTCCTGGGATCCTGGCGACTACGGAAGCCCAAAGGCTCAGTTCCGGAAGTAGACCCTCGACTCGCCCCGCCTCTTCCGCTATTTCGCTCTATACTCCCCGTCATGCAGCACGGCTCTACTACGTCATAGTTTGAGAACAAGAGGCGTGGTACTTTGCCTCTGCTGCAGTGGCAGTGTGCTCCGTTCTGGTGATACCTAGGAAAGAGAAGTTTTGGAGGAGTCGTAAGTATCCAGGATCTGTCCATCGTGCAAACATTTCCTGAACGTCCCTTGGGACAGAACGCAGGGCTGTCGTCTGCCATCAGGAAGTTCAGCCTGGCTGGGAGTCGAAGGACAGGAATAGACAGTGCCATCAGGAATAGACAATGGAGACCGGAAAGAAGCTGGAACTTCTTCAGGAAGATTTCGTAAAGGGGTAGTTGGGCCTGAGACTAGGACTCAAAATGACTACAGTTTATCGCTCTCAGTTAACTAATTTGCTTCTCACTTTCCTTCATTATCCCACCACCAAAGGGGCTGTCATATCATTAAAAAATAAAAGGAGAAACCCGTATTCCTACTTTTGCTGCAGTAGGATAAAAAGTGTATGGTCGAAATATAATTTCTTATCATCCCAAGCCCAAGAAAAAGGCCTCACTGTCTTCACAGACCTCTTGTGGTTTAGATCCATGAAGAGACCTTATCTCTCCCTTCAGCAAAGACCTGCGTTCAGCTTCTCCGGTCACTGCTGCTTCTAAAGGGCCTGGCACAACAAATAGGCCTTTTGCTCTTAACATAATGAGCCCAACATAGCAGTCTCTAGGCCCACCTTTAAAGATAATGCCTTAATTCCTAGTTCCAGTAAGTGAATCTGGCCAAAGGCTTTAGCAAAGCAGTAACCCAATGAGCCTTCATCAGAAACCTAACTATTGAGCCACTAGACCTTAATTTGATTCACAAATAACTAGTGGTATTTTGTTGTTTTTTGAGACAGGGTCTTGCTATGGTTCAGGCTAGCTTTGAGTTCACAACAATCCTGCCTCCGCCTCATATATATATATATTTACATATAATACATATATATCACATAGCTCAGTGTACCTTTGTTAACTCTAGAACCACACTTACAAATTTTTCATTTCTTGGGCCGGGGAGATGGCTCAGTGGAATAAGTGCTTCCCTGGCAAGCGTAAGGGCCTGAGTTCAATCCCCGGTCCTGCCCCCCCAAAAAAAACCCACAAATTTTTCATTTCTTATTTACATTTTTATTGTGATCCTATTTATAGTCAACCAGTAAAACTTCCAGCTAGAGCCATTAGAAACATGTACATTTCTGCTGATAGTGAACATTCTTTGATTTTCCAGCTCCAAGGTTCATGTGGTAAAATTTTCATATGGAAAGGAGCTCAGAATCCCACACAGAAAATTCTTCGGTTTAAGAATGTCAGAAAGATGGATCTCCAAATCCAACCATCTCCTGTACCATGTGGATCTCTGCAAGCAAAGCCTCATCCTTCAGTTTCAGCTACATGAACAAGGAAAGCAAAAACACATGTTATATCTGATACACTATATACCTTTGAAAGCCTCCCGTTTATGGGGCCAAAGCTAAAGAACATAGTTCCTCAGGATGGAATTGATTTTACACTCTACCACCAAACCACATCTACAACCTTTGGAAAACGCCTTTAAAAGGAGGTGAAATAGCTGTAACATGGTCTCTTTTCTGTTTTTCCCCTCTTGTTCTTTATCTTGCCTGAATTATGGGTGTGACAGTGGCTGGAGCTACATTGGCTGTCTGAAACTGTGAGGGATAGAAACTCCATGATACACTTGGTGGAGAAAAAGATAGGGGTTGAGTCATTAGTGACATTTTTACCTGTAGTGCCAGCCCTGGATTTCATCAAATTAGAAAAAAACTAATTTTGTAAACTGTTGTCGTTCAATTGAAATTACTTCAATTTGTAACTGACAGACCAGGGTTTGATCATAAGCCAAACCTAGTATGCTACCTATTTTTATGTAAACAGTTTACTGGACCACAACCATTCCTTTATATAATATCTATGGTTGCTTTTGCAACCCCTGAGCAGGCTGAGCTGACCACACACACACACACACACACACACACACACACACACACACCAGTAACCCCATAATAATGGCAAATTATGTGATGAGTAAAGCCTTTTTAAAAAGATTCACATCATAAAGTGCTCTGAAGTCTGAGTTAAACCAGCACCTTCTTCCGAGGGTCCCAGCCTCAGCAGGTACTGACAAGTGGCGGAGGCATCCGCATCCTACCTTTACTGTGTATTTGTAGGCCTGTTCAGCTTCCAGTTGCCGTCCAGCCTGAAACAAAGTATAGTAGCTGATGGTAAAAACATGTCAAAAGTGTCATGGCCGAGAGGAACATCACCTCAGATGTTTCTACCTGCCACAGGCGATAGCAACTTCTCAGTTAAGAATCTCTGAGGGCTAGTGAGATGGCTCAGTGGTCTAAAGCACCTACTTAGAACAAGCTTAGCAAAGCACAGGACCGCGGTTCAATCCCCCAGCCAGCCAGCCCCGCCCCCTGGTGGGCTGAGCTGGCCACACACACACACACATAAATAAATAAAAAAATGTTTTAAAAAAAGAATCTCTGAATTCATGAGGGAAATAGGAAAATGGAAAGTGATAAGATAGAGGTGGTATTTTCAAAACATTCTCCTTGACTTTGGAAAATTGAAAGACATTTGGCTTTTCATGTTTTTCTGAAGGCACATAAATCATTTATTCATCTTAGGACTGAAGCCACTTTGTTAATAATTGCACACTGCAATGCTTAGAGGTGATTTACACCTTGTGATGTTCTAAACAGTTTAACCATATTCACTCTTGGTCCTTATGACCTAGGTGGTGGTGGTGGTGAACCTATGGCACATATGTTGTGGTGAGCTGTTTGCATCAAGCTCTAAAAGTTTCACTGTTGCTTACCTTGAAGATAATCACTTTTGTTTTCATTCTAGGTTAACAGAGAAATCTAACAGATTAAATAATTGGCCAGGGTTATTAAGCTGGTTATTAAATGGAAGATCCAGGTTTTAAAACAGAGAAGTCTGCTTCCAGAGTCCATATTTGTACTTACTACACTTTATCCATCTGTACACATTGGCAAAAGTATCAGAATTACTTCCATACAAATCTGGCCATGTGAGGAGACCACTAAGTACTCTGCCCACTGATATTATCCTTTGTGTGAGGCACACTATGAGATAAGTGAGATTCTGTGAATTTGCTCTTATATTTCACAAGTTTGTACATAGCAAATTAAGCTCTACATTAACTTAGGAAAAATTAAATACATATACAAAACCATAGAATAATTCTTACTGAAAGAGAACTTAGAACATATAGTCCAGTTTCCTGAAGTTCACATGAAATCTTTACTACTTCATACAACTTTCATACCCCGAGCCCTTACTTCCTTACCTACATCTTAAACTATTACCACCTGAGGTTCACTGAATTGCTGGGTGTTTGTCTAGCACACCTTCTAGTCCTACTACTATTACCTTTGACTGTCTTCTACATTAAGAAGATAGAGGTCACATGACATAAGCTGAATAATAATTAGTTTTGCTATTATGAACACTGCTGTAGTAAAGATCCTTATACATACCTTTATGTATTTTTTTCTTTTTTTATGGCCAACTCAACCCAACGGGGGAGGTGAGGGGGGTGGTGCCGGGGATCAAACCATAGTCCCTGCACTGGTTAAACTTGCCTAAGCAGATGCTTTAGATAGCTGAGCTATCTCACCAGCCCTCTTTATGTATTTTCCTAGGAATGTGTCTGGATATGGCATTTGCCTTTTTTTTTTTTCTTTTTGTGCACGGTACCGGGAATTGAACTCAGGACCTTGCACTTGCCAGGCAAGTGCTTATTTCTACTGAACTATCTCCCCAGAACCCTCATTTGCCAAATTGTAGATATGAATGTGACCAAACAATGCCACATTGGCTTTAATAGTGTATTATAAATGTATGTCTACTAGCAACAAAGAAAAACCTTATAGGGGCCGGGGAGACAGCTCAGTGGAATAAGTGCTTGCTTGGCAAGCACAAGGCCCTGAGTTCAATCCCTAATACCGCAAAAAAAAAAAAAAAAAAAGACTTAGGGCCGGGGAGATGGCTCAGTGGAATAAGCACTTCCCTGGCAAGCTCAAAGACCTGAGTTCAATTCCCGATTCCGCAAAAAAAAAAAAAAAAAGCCTTATAAATGTTAATGCCATATTTTAATTTTTTTTCAGTCTGATCTCAATTTTTGCCATATTTTATACAATGCATTTTCATTTTTCTCAGCTTTTTATACATATTTTGATTTTTATAATCTCTACTTCAGCAAACTGCATATTCCTATCTTCTGCCCATATTTAATCAGAATATTTATAGTTCTTTTCCTTTTTGTAGGAGTTATTTGTATAACCTGAATATAATCCTATTTTAGTGTTCTTGTTATACACGAGCCTCCAGTGTTATAGTAGTTAGCTTACTGGTATTGAGCATAAGCCTCAAATTTCCCCACAAGGCCAACATTGAACCTAACCATTGAATTTTATTTGTTTCTTGTCTATTTTTGTTGGCAACCAGAATCATGGAAAGATTCAAGTTTGAGAACAGAGGTACCACTGTATGGCACAATTACAGCTTAAAGAAAAATTATAAGAATGGTTTTCTCTTTTGCTATATATTCATTTATACATATATGCACATGTATATAGAAAAACATACATATGTATGCAAGGTATATGTGTGTATATATACTTTTAACTTTTCTTGAACATTTTGAGGATTGCAAACATGAAGCCATTTTCATATTTCAGTGTTTTCTAAAATCAAAGATATTCTTACATAATCACAGCACAATTAGCAAAATGAGATTAATATACACACAATACTATTACCTAATCTATACATCTTATCCAGATCTAATTATCCCCATAATGCCTTTTACAGAAAAAAATTGAGATTCATGTATGACCATATCAGGTTATAAACATCACAAAAATTAAATCATGTTCTCACCCATCATGTCAAGAAGCACGTACTCTTTATGTCAAAACTGGTGGCACTAACTGATCATAGGTCTAAATAGCCATCTTCTAGGTTTCTCTTATGTTACTCTTTCCTGCCATGTAAAGTGTATCTGTGGGGAGATAACTTCGAGACTGAATATCTTCTTGGTCCTTAAACTTGTATCCACAGTTTTTCATACACTGGTGAGTGTTCATAGACTCAGCTACCACTACGATTTCTCAATTGTATTTCCTAATTCCATCCTCCTTTATTAGTTGGCTTTCTGTGAGCTTTCTGAGTGCTACCATTTACTTATATCACTGTAGAATTCAGTTTCTTGTACTAAATAGGAGGGTCCGTATTTCTTTGTGGCTGTAGCCCAGCCACTGTTGGCTTCTAGAGGTCACTCATATTCCTTGAAATACCTTTTTTCATCTGTAAGACACCTGTTATGGGTTGTATCTAGATGTCCCCCCAAAGCCTCATATAGTGGTGGGGTTTTTTTCAGAGGTAGCTGGATCTACACTGTGTACTACTGTGATTGATTCATGGTGCAATGAAAGGGTCAAGAGCACCAGGAATAAGGGTATGAGCACTATGTGAGCACTATCTGCCCTAGCTAATCCGGATAAGGGATACAAGGTGCTGTGGTCACCCCTTGTTGCTTTGATTCCATCTGCCCACCACAGACTTTCTCCTCTGTAATTCCTGTCTGCCATGCTACCCTGCCTTGGAGCCAGCCAACAATTGCCTGAAACCGCTTCAAAATGTAAGCTAGATAAACTTTCCCTCTCTTAACTTGTGGGTGTTGGGTATTTTTTCTCAGCAATGAGAGAAAAATAAGACACTACCTATGGTGAGTTGAATAACTTTTTTCTTTCTGTCCTCTGCCAGAAAACAAAAACAAAAACAAAAAAAACCTCTGCTTTCAAAAGATATGTTCAGTTGTGTCAGATAATCTCTGTATCTTTAGGTTAACTAATTTGGGACTTAAATCTGTAAAATCTCTTCACGACAGTACCTAGTTAGTGTTTGATGCTACGGTGTTGGGGGAGAGGAACATCTTTTTTCCCATGTATTTGTGCTAACACAAGGCCTACAGGGTCTCACTACATAGATCAGACTCTTCATGATTCTCCTGTTTTTAGCCTCCCAGGTGCTGGGATTACAGGCGTGTGCCACCATGCCCAGTCTCAATCACCATCTCAGCAAGGATTGAACCCTGGCTGCTGTGCTTTGCCTAAACAGGTGCTTTAGTCTGCTAAGCTATCTGGCCGGCCCTGTATCTGTTCAATTTTACTTAGCACAAGATCTCATATTTGAAAGTATCACATAATTTCTTCTGTGATCACTGAAGTAATTGAAAATGTTTTAGTTTTGAAAGTATATGTTTTTAGCCTATACAGTAGTTGTTGATTTACAATTTTACTACAGTGTGATCTATGTGTATTTGTTGTACCTCTTTGTGGTCTAGCACGTGTTCAGCTTTTATCAGGAATTCATTTGTGCTTGAAATCTGTCCTTTAATTGTTAAAGCTGGGTTATGTATTGGTATCTTATCTCAGCCCAATTCATTGTGAAACAAACACACAGATCCTTTTTTTTTTTCCTATTTGTTCTATCACTTTCTGAGAAATGTACATCAAAATCTTCCCTTTTACCCTTTTAGCTTATAAGTGAAGAATCTGTGGCTGAGTATGGTTTAGTGACTTACCCTGTATCCTGCAGCTAGTTGGGGCAGAGCTGGAGTAAAAACCTGGATTTTTTGTTTATTTGTTTGTTTTTTGTTTGTTTGGAGATAGGGTCTTACTCTGTAGTTCAGGCTGACCTTGAACCCACTGGGTAGCCCAGGATGGCCTCAAACTTCAGTGATCCTTCTGCCTCAGCCTCTCCAGTGCAGAACCCAGATATTTCTTATATTAATAATTGGAATACTCTCTAAAGAAAATCCAGTAATGTTTTGTTTTGTTGAGATAGGGTATCGCTGTGTAGTTAAGGCTGGCCTTGAAATATAAATAAATAATAGATCGATCGAGCCAGCCAGCCAGCCAGCCAACCATCATCTATCCATCTGGCAAGCTGTACCAAATATATACATCCATCCATCCATCCCAGGCCAGCCTCATACTCAGCATCTCCAGTGCTGGGACTTACAGATTGTACACCTCCATGCCCTGATCCACTAACTTTTCTTTTGTTCATTTCTCTTTTAATCATAACACTCCCTGACAATGTGGTATCACACTGGCCAACTGAAAACTACGGGCAGTTCTTATGGCTCCCATTAGACCTTAGTCTGATATGCAAATTATTTACATCTAATCAAAGGAGGTTTTTTTTTTTTGTGGAACCGGGGATTGAACTCAGGCCCTTGCGCTTGCCAGGGAAGCGCTTATTCCACTGAGCCATCTCCCCGGCCCCTTATTTTTTAATAGGTAAAGCACCTCTCAGGAATTCCCCTAACACCTCCTACTCAATTCCGCATCTGAATCAAAGACAGACACACTCAGCCAGCAGTTCAACAGGAAGAAAGACTCACAGAATATTTGTACTGATCTTTGATCTAGTTTATGTTCTCATACAAATTGCTCCCGCCTTTTAAATTTTTTCTTTTCCATTTTGTTATTTATTTATTATTTTTTTTTTTTTAGAAAGGGTCTTGCTGTGTAGTCCAGACTGGCTTGAACCATGCAGCCAAGTAGCCCATGGCTGGCCTCAAATTTGCAATGTGCAGTTTCAGCCTCCCTGTCCTTAGATTACAGGCACATTGCTTCCATTTTTGCAACTCCCTTTCTAGAAAACACATTTTAATATAATTTTTATTCATATTCCAAGTAGAAGATGCCCAGATTTGGCCTTCTCTTTGTCAGACTTAGAGCTCATCAAACTTCATCTATTGTGCATCTGTCCATTGTTACTTGGTCCCTGACAAGGCACTGGGTAAAGACAGCAATTCTACTCACTTTCAGGCAGACCAGAGCCAAATATGCCCAGACTTCAGCATTGTAGTTGTTCAGTGCATTGGCTTCAGAGAGCGCATCCTCAGCCTCCGTGATCTCATCCAGCTTGAGAAAAAGGCAGCAAGTAAGTAAGGTGAAGTGGTTTTCACCTAAGCCAGGTGAACTTGGCTGAAACCACTATGTCCAAGTAATATGACCGTGAATTATATTGTCAACTCTTTCCAGTTTTAGGATCAGAATGTTTTTCTGTGATACAGTTTATGAACTGATGACAAGTAGAACTTTTCTGATTTAAAAGCCAGTTAAGAGGATCTGGAGCCCTGCCTGGTGGGCTGTTTATTCCCACTTCTCCCTCTCTGTTCCTCTATAGCAATCCCATCAGGGCCTCTGTGACCCATGGAGCTCTAGGTGCCAGGGCTAGAAATCCACAATTACTTGCTAAGGTCATTCAATGATTTCCCCATCCACAGTGGGCTGTCATGCATTTTCAGTTTTTTTGTTTACACTGTGCATCCTGAGGCTAAAGTCTAATTGACCTGTCAAAACACTGCTGTCCAGAAAGCTTCCTTTCCCCTAATATCACTTATTAGCTGAACAATCAGTATAGTTTCCCGGGTCTCTAGAGCGCTGCCTGAGCTTTGGGCATCGGAGGTCATCATTATTTCATAAAACCATGAGTTTGCTTTCCAAAGGCCACCGAAGAAGAAGGCTTTCTAAAAGACAGACTTAGAAAAACACCACTAGAGTGTCATGCAACACCTGGCTTGATTTGGTTTTGAGTAGATTCCTTTTCTCCTATGTCATTTTTTTCTTACAGATAACATCACACAAGAATGTCTAAACCAAATAACATTAATTTTTTTTAAAGGTCTCTTCTTGGTTCTGCTTTTTCTAGGATTTTATTCATTTGTTTTTATTTGGAGGCAGGGTCTTGCTATACTCCAGAGTAGCTTTGCACTCACTATATAGCTCAGGTTGGCTATGGCGATCCTCCTGCCTCAGTTTCCTGAGTGCTGGGAATACAGGTTTGTGCCACCATGCCAGGCTAAGAATTTTCAAAGGACATTTTGTTTTCCTAGTTTATATTCATCTTCAGGTCAAGAACAGCTTTGAAGACCACCTTTCCAGGGGATAAGGAGATAGCTCAATGGACTAAGTGCCTGCCTGGCAAGCTCAAGGACCCAGGTTCGATTCCCAGTACCTCATGCTATGCCAACCTGCACCATGCAACTTGTAGTGATCCTCCTGTCTTAGTCTCCCCAGCGCAGGGATTACAGGAATGCACCATCACACCCAGTGTCTGGGCTAGCACCTGGGTCCTTGCACTTGCCAGGCAGGTGCTTAGACCACTGAGCTATCTGCCCAGCCCTCTGTCTTTGTTTTTGTTATTTGTGTTTGCTTTTACTCTTTAAAATAAAATAGGGCCAGCCAAATAGCTCAGTGGATGAAAGTGTCCGCACAGGGGCTGGGGGTTCAATCTCTGGGCCTACTGTGCCGGCCCCTCCCCTGGAGCACGCTGACATGGCTATTGAGACTGGGCGTGGTAGCGAGCGTCTGTAATCCCAGCTCTTGGGAGGCTGTAAACAGGCGGATCACTATGAGTCCAATCTAGTAGTGAAACCCTGAACACCCTGTAGACCCTTCCTTAAAATAAAATAATAATAATCATAAAGAATAAAATAAACGAAAGAAAGAAAATCAAGGAATCAAGGTTATTCATGTGCACAGGCCTAGGCTCAAGTCTTTATTCACTTACCCGGTAACAGGCAATTCCCAGTCCCAGCCAAGTAAGGCAGGAAGGAGATCTCTTACAGGCCTGCAGGTAGGTCTTCTTTGCCTTTTCATACTAAAAAAAAAAAAAAAAGGCCGGGGAGATGGCTCAGTAGGACAAGCGCTTGACTGGCAAAAAAAAAAAAAAAAACACCTGCTGTTCTAGAAGCTTCAAACACTATACTACCATGAAAATCATGGGTTCTCTTGATAGTTTCACTTCAGAACAATTTAAGTGACCCCTTGGATTCTATTTTTACATCTAGTTTAATGGAGATATTGCAAGATCAGTGAGAGGAGATGGACAGACCAAGTGAAAGAAAAGACTTCATCTGGAAGCAGTTCCTAAATATAGCCTCTCTAAGTCTTATTCATTTTTTTTGTGTCTTTTGGTTACCAGGGGATGATCTCTAGGCAGGTGTTTAAGCCACTGAGCTGTCTCCCCAGCTCTCGCTGCTGTGAGTCTTGAGGCCAGCGATCACATTCAAAGTTCTGGGTGAACACCATGGTTATCTGAGTTCCGCATGAACCTTATGGACTATCCCCTTTCACATTGAAGTGACATCATCTTGTGAGACAACAGACACTGAATGCCTGGACTGAGGTATTCTTGGCACAGCCTGTTCATTCTGAGGGTCTGTTCCCGTATCATACATGGCCTTAGAAGTTACACAGCTATTTACGGGCTGAAGCAAAAGGCTCGTTTTTGAGCCCAGCAGGTGGAGGCCATCCTAGGCAACAAGACAGTAGTGAGGCACTCTCCTTTTATCGTTCCTTTTAAGACAAGGTCTCACCATGTGCCCAACCCCTGGGTTCCCGTGATTTTCCTTTTAGGTACTGGGACTACAGATGTGAGGCACTCAGCAAGACCTTGTCTCTCTTTTAAAAATACTTTTAAAAGAAGTGTCCCTGGGGCTGGAGAGATGGCTCAGTGGTCTAAGGCACCTACTTAGAACAAGCTTGGCAAAGCATCAGGGACCGCGGTTCAATCCCCCAGCACCACATGCCAGCCAGCCCCGCCCCCTGGTGGGCTGAGCTGGCCACACACACACACCACACACTCTCTCTCTCTCTCTCTCTCTCTCTCTCTCTCAAATAAATAAAATAAAAAATAAAAAATAAAAAAGAAGTGTCCCTAAAAGGACTATTTCTTGTCTTGTATTTTCAGTGCAAGAGAAAGATCGTCTATACCTGGGCCTCAGCAAATGGCCTAACAACTGCTTGCTAATGACCGTGGGGATCAGCAAGTACTACGAAGATGCAGCTTGCAGTGGCATTCAGAAGAAAAGTTTTCCTTATTTTCTTCACTGCAGTAGGACAATAATTTCTCTTAGCCTTCCTACAAGGCTCTGCAACTTCTCCTTATTGTTATTTTATATTCCAAGGGAGAAGTAGAAAGCAGGGCGTCGAGAGACCTTCAGTAGAATGTTGATAATCCTTTTAGTGGGGTGATGGTTCCACTTTTTTCACTTTGGACATATTTCCTAAAATATGGGAGGCAAGAGCTAGAGGCAGGTGTGAGAGGGCCCTTTGCCCAATGTGTTGGCCTCAGCTCTATTAAATACAGCTGTGTGGACTAGGAAGCTGAAGTGGGGTTTTTTTTTTGGGGGGGGTTGTTTTTTTTTTAAGAAGTACTGCAAATAAAATAGGTTTCACTGCTGCTAATAAAATTAAGCAGTAGTGCAATGATTAAAGCCATGAACTCTGGTTTCAGACCGCTGGGTCTGCATCCAGCTTCTACTAGTCACTGGTTATCTGGCATTGGGCAAGTCATTCCACTTTGGATGTAAACATGTCATTACCTTATTACTAGTTTTCATATGGATGTAAAGGCTTGACTATAATCAGGTCCCAGGCCAGGGCCCAATTTATGTGGTTAGTGCCAATCTTCTCCTCCTTACCTCTTTCTCTTCTAGATAGATAAGACCAAGACGCAGAAAGATGAAATGCATCTCAGAAGCATCCACTACAAAACTAACAGTTCGCTCATAGCATGCCTTGGCCTCAGTGTGATTTCCACTCAGAAAGCAGAGGTGGCCCTTCAGGCCCCAGACATTAGGATTCTGAGAAAACACAGAACAATAATGGTGTGCTATTTAAAAGCAGGTTAAACACCTTTGTTTAACATTATATTTACATTAGTAAGCTTCCTTTTTTATGAGCACTCAGAAAGAGGGTCATTCAGTTGCACAGGGTTTGTTTTTTTTTTTGTTTTTTTTTTAGGTCTGCTTGCTTGCTTGCTTTCCTTCATTTGTTCCTTCGTTCATTTGTTCTTCTGTTTTCTTTTTTTTTAGCCAGGATTTTGCTATACAGCTTAGGCTGGCCTTGAACTCATTTTGTAACTGCATAGCCCAGGCTGGCTTCAAACTCACAGCAATCATCCTGCCTCATCCTGCTGTAATCCACTAGTATTACAGGTGTGCACTACCATATCTGGCTCTCATTTCTTTCTTGCATTCTTCAAAGCCATTTTGTCTTGGAGGTGAATGTCAGGAAAAACACTCAAGTTATAACCAGAACAGTACTCACAAGGAGAAAAGAGAAGTTTAGAAAACTTAAAATAGATTAATACTATCTGCTAAAGAGTTGTCCTCCTTTCCTCTGCCTTTTGCAGAACTACGATTACTGAAGAAAAACAAATGAAGGACACAGGTAACTGATGACCCCACTCCTGGTCACCAGGAATCAACCTGTAATATAGTACCACAACGTTTTTCTCTTTCTGAGGTGGGAATTTGCAATCTCACGATGTTAATTTGAGATCTGTGTTGCCCAGGTTGGCCTCAAACTCCTGGGCTCAGTTGATTTTGTGCCTCAGCCTCCCACGTAACTGGGACTAGAGCCATATGCCTCTTTGTCCAGATGGTGCCACTACTTCTAGTAAAGCCTACTGTCCCCTTCTTCCACTGAGGAGAGTCTAGTGAGAGCCATTACCAGGTAGTCCATCTGGGCTGCTTGTTGAAGGTATTCATCTGCCTTAGCAAAGTCCTTCTTGAGAAGGTGAGTCTGGGCCAGAACCAAGAAATACTCACAGCTGGCTCCTCCTTGGGGGCACAGCAGCTCGTGAGTGAGCACCCTGTGCACATACTGCGAGGAAACAGAGCATAAGGAGCGCGTAAGTGCCGGCACTGCCCTCGCCCTGTAGCTTTCATGGTTGAAGGATTCTGTCTCTAACAATAAGTAAGAAATATCTTACAGAATGGAAGCACTGCCCTCAATGCCAAAGTTGGGTCCATTACGTTCAGTACCTCGGGTCCTTTCACCAGCTATTCTTTGTTACCCAGCAGGAACACTTCCATGTGAGCAAAATGCAGCACAGTTCTCGTCTGGCTGGCCGTCAGGCTCCATGCATCTTAGGTTAGGTTCATTAGGCAATGGACGAAGGCACTACACCAGCCACCCCATTTCGCACCCCACTTGCACATGAACATTTAGGCAGCTGTCACTGTGAAAATTCTAGGCTCAGAATCTTCAAGACATAAATATGTGTTTCTGCCATACTTCCAAACATTTACGTTTGCCAGTTTTGTACTGGGGGATAGTCTTTGTTGTATATGCTTTACAAGACTTGCGAACTAGACAGAGGCAGATGTACTGCTGGACAGAGGGTCTTTTATTCCCAGTGTGTTCCCATCTCAGCCTATGATGTAGAAACCTTCGTAGGAAAATACTGGGGGCAGGGACTGAAGCTGTTCTCTCTCCTGCCCTCGGGTTCTGACTTGGCAGATGAGGGCTCATGCGACTACAAGAGCGGCTGTCCTTATTGGGAAGGGTCATTATGCTAAGGGGACTGCTGAATGTGTCCAATCCCTTCCAGGTCCTCTTGCCCTGGAGGGGACTAGGCTCCTGGACACTGCTGTCTCGCCTGCATGCTCACAGATACGCGTCTTGTTTCCCCCGCAACAGACAGGCCCCAAAGGACATGCTGCTTCTCTGGGAAGAGTCCAGTTTCCCAGCTGCCCCACCTGTGACTGCACAGCTAAGTCAGACATGGGACCAGTGACATTCTCTAGCCCAGTTTTTCCTTTCCCCTTCAGTGCTGAGGATTGAACCCACGGCCTTTGCACTGAGCTATACCCGCAGTCTTTAATTTTTATTTTGAGACAGAATTTTCTTACTAGGTGGCTAAATTGCCCAGGTTGGGTGCTACTTGGGATGTCCTGACTCAGCCTCCCAGAGTGCTTTACAGACCTGCATGTGCCACCATTGTTGGCTATAGCAGTTTTACCAATAAAATTAATTGTTTAAGCCCCCCACCCCCACCCCATGAAGCACTATGCGTCTGTTTCAATTGGTCATTCCTGGAAGGGGAAGGATGTTACGCCTGGCCTTGGAACCCTCAACATTCATATAAGTTCCCACAAAAAAGTGGTATCAGGCTACTTATGACTTACAGTATGACTCTGCTCTGGGGGTATTCTACAGGGAAGAGATGTGCAGTGATATCTGTTGATACTGTGTGCAGAGAGAGTCACATTTGGATATTTTCTTTAGGCTTAAGGTGTACTCTTCAAGGTATATGACAAGTGTTGCAGCTCAGTGCAAGGGGCATACTTAGCAGGCACAAGGCACTGGGCTCAATCTCTGGCATTAAAGAAAAGCATATTTGGCCTTTGTGTCGCTGATGTTTAAAATTGCAAAGATACTACTCTAGACAGTAAGCAGTTCTCTAAAGTATTTCCATTTTTGTGCTTTTCCAAATATTCTCACCTGCACAGCATTGACTTTCATCAAGAAGCGTATGGTCTCCATGAAGATGCTGCTATGAGTTTGGGAGGCACCATGATGAGGGGTAGGATGTGGAAAAGGTGGTAGATCTTGACACTTTGATACTTGTGAAAATATTATATTAAAAGGATAGAAGATCAGATATAAAAGAAAAAATGTCAGAAGCTCAGACACACAAGGTAGCCAGCAGAGTATTCTGATACAAAATATGAGACGGATCACAATGTGGAAAGCAAAGGATGTCTCCAGCAACGCTCTCCCAAACAGAACTCCAAAGTTTGTAAAAAATAAATCTAATGGTGGATCCAAAGACAAGTCCCAACCAAACAGAAACATCTAAAAGTACTCAGATCCCCATGACTATGAAACATGATTGGTTGATATTCAAAAAATGAACTCATTGAAAAGTCACAGGTGTTTGGCTAGGTGCTTCTATGAGTTAAATATAAAATCCTTACTTACTGAGTTACTTGACTGCGTTTGGAATTTTAGAGACTGATTGGAAAGAATATAGTCAATATGAATTCAAACAAGTTAGGATTTCCACTTTTATAATCATGAGTTTTATCCTTGTCTCATTTATTTATGTCCCTCTTTCAAGTGGGATTCTTAATATCTTGTTACCTTTTTTGTCTGGTATATCCTTGTACACCATGCTGGAGGGTTTGGGGCCAATAGTTGGATCTTGATATTGTACAGTCAGTATGGGTTCTTGTGACTCAGACTGAAGTTTGGGAGAATCTTCAAGAGCTTCATCTACAGTGGAAAACACAGCTACAGATCCTAATCAGAATAAATTTTGATAGAGAAATATCTTCTTACCTTGGATATTAAAATGTACAAAGCATAAGAAACATACTCCCCAAATACTACACGAAAGACAGACTTGTTTGAGAGCCTCAAAAACAATTTAGCCCCCCGCAAAAAAAAAAAAGACCCAATCAAAAGGCATCTGAAATGAACAGACACTTAAGTATTCAACTTCTCTGACCATCAGAGAAATACAAATTAAAACACTGCAGATCTGTTTTTACTCTGAAAAGAACAGATATCATCAAAAAATCAAATAACAAATGCTGACAAGGATGTGGGGAATAAGCAACTCTTCTACACTGTTAATAGGAATGTAGAATAGTAAAACCATTATAGAAGTCAATATGGAAGGCTGGTCATGGTGCTGCACGCCTGGAACCCCAGCATTCAGGAGGCTGAGGCAGGAGGACTGCTGCAAGCTCAAAAGATCCTGTCTTAAAAAGACAAAAAAAGATAAAACAAAATTTTAAAAGATTTTAAAAAATTCAATATGGAGATTTCTCAAAAAATTAAAACTGGAAATTCCATTTGACCCAGCTCTTCCCCTTCTGGTATCTTCCCAAAACAGTTAAAGACACCACATTGCAGAGACACATGTCTATCATGTTTACAGCAGCACAATTCCTAATAGCTAAATCTTGGGAGCAGCCAGTATGTCCATCAGCAGATGAATGGGTGTAAAAAAAGTGTGGCATCTACACATGATAGAGTACTACTCTGCCGGAAAGGGTATGCTTGAATTACTTGTGAAACCAACTACAGTTTTAATTACTGCTGCATTATTTTTCCCTTTGGCCTCAATGTATTTTTTATTAGTACATGCTTGTCATACATAGTGATCACAGTATGGGCAGCTGGTACATGTACATAATACGTCTTAACTGTTTGAGACTATAATGTTACCTTGAGACCATTAAGTTAAGTGAGGTGAATCAGACACACAGTTTTTTTCTCATAACTATTTTTTGTAAATAAATTGTTTACAAACAAATGAATATAACAATAAAAATTGTCCAAAAAAAAAGAATTTATAGATCAGTCATATAATAGTTCACTCTGTGTCAAAATCAAGAAACTTATACTCATATAATTAGAATTCTCAAAGTAGAAAGAGGTAGGCAATAAATATTTAAAGATTTAAAATGTCTGAATTTAGTTGAACATATAACACCACATTTCCAAGAAAAATGAACCTTTTGCACAAGAAATTTGAATGGGTGTAAAAAAA